CTTCGTAGTTTCCTACACCGAGCTTTAAATTTGCTCTGTATCAAGTGTTACCCAATCTCCCAACCTTTATGTACTTAATCCAAACAACTTTATCATTGTGTTCATTGCTGTCTTCTTTTATGTGCTAGCCATATGCTGTATTGTGCCTACCAATTTTTGTCAACTACCATTCAAGCTGTCATTGCAATCAATCTGAGCTACCTATGTGCTTTAATATACCTACAAATTTCTCTCATCTTTTATTTTTTTCTTGCTATGTACCTGTTATTTTTATAAATTTTGCTAGTATTTACCTACCTAAAATTTTCTTGGATTAAGGACCTGCCCGAAATGCTGCACATACTAGTGACTTTACAAGAATGTAATTACTATGCTATGTATCCTCACAATCCCAATGTACCTTCTTGCATATATATATAAATAAATAAAATAAATAAATAAAATAAATAACCTTAATTTTCTCACATGCTAACCCACTTACTCTAAATGACATGTTGAATACTGAACTCTAAGTTCATTTGTGGTTGACTGCTAACAAATTTACCTTTAATATCGACTAGACATTTTACATTTTGTTTAGTAACAATCAAATTAATCTAAGAATTAACAATACCCAAATTGCGATCAGAGTAGATGGGAAGTTCCTTGGTGTTCACATTAACCACTTAACTGCGCCAACCGAGTATTCTTGGTCGGTGGAAAACTGCTCCAACCGAGAAAAAACACTGATTTTTTCGTACCCATTCTAAATGTGCGAGAGGTTGGTTGTGTACAAAATGGACTCTTAGGACCTTCAGCAAGAGGCAGCCATCTTGGAAAAAATTCCCAGAATGCCCTAGGGCTGCTGGCTGGGGTCAGTACTGAGTGAGCAACCATGGGTGGCGCATGCGCCTCTATTTAGATGATACATAGATGAATCGTTTTCTGCGTTCAGTGATGATGCATCCGATACAAATAGCATAGATGAAGTGTTAGCGGCTTCCATGGGGGTGTTTTCCACGGATATTTTCAAGAATAGCTGAATCTCTTCTTGACTGATGGACACTCTTTGAGGCTGGCTGAATCTCTTCTTGACTGATGGACACTCTTTGAGGCTGGCTGAATCTCTTCCTGTGTGGGACCTTACAAAGCGATCTTTTCATGACTACCTAACAAATTGATCTTTTCCTGTAATCTTTTCAAGACTATCTTATGTTTTACAAGCATGGCCACATACCACCTGCAGATACTAATGCCAAGGGTGCACATGACTGCATTATTTGCAAGTACTCAGAACAGTCTCCGTGGTGTAGTGGTAAGACACTCGCCTGGCGTTCCGCGAGCGCTATGTCATGGGTTCGTATCCTGGCCAGGGAGGATTTACTGGGCACAATTCCTTAACTGTAGCCTCTGTTTAACGCAACAGTAAAATGTGTACTTGGATGAAAAAACGATTCTTCGCGGCAGGGGATCGTATTCCAAGGACCATAGGATTAAGGACTTGCCCGAAACGCTACGCGTACTAGTGGCTGTACAAGAATGTAACAAAGAAACAGGAAGCAAAAATCTATCTGTACCTGGTGCAACGCGAGCTAAGTTGCACTGTGTACTATAGACTAATGGACTACTTCGTTGATTATTACTCACTTCCGAAGTACCGAGTGTGTAATACAGTGCGTTACTGTGTAAATGATCTGCCTAATGTCTCTAACATTCTGAAACCTATTTTGTTTGCTGATGATACTACCCTCATCTACTCCAACCCCAACCCACATACACTAAATGGTGTTGTTAATAATGAACTAAAAAAAGTCCACTTATGGATGTCAACCAACAAACTAACACTTAACATAGAAAAGACCTACTACATCCTATTCGGAAGCAAATCTACAAATGCAATTCAACTTCAGATTGACAATGTAAACATTAGCAATAAAAATGATGGAAAGTTTCTTGGCATATTCCTAGACAAGAGACTTAACTTCAGTACCCACATACAACACATAACTAAGAAAGTCTCTAAAACAGTTGGTATACTCTCCAAAATCAGATATTATGTTCCTAACTCTGCTCTCATCTCTCTATATTATGCACTAATCTATCCCTATCTCAACTATGGTATCTGTGCATGGGGTTCAACCACTGCAAACCACCTCAAGTCCATCATCACCCAGCAAAAATCTGCTATCAGAATAATATCAAATTCTGCTTTCAGACAACACACAGCCCCCTTGTTTAACTCCCTAAACATGCTAAACATAATCTCACTCCACAAATTCTCTTGTGTCAACTACATTTACAAAACCCTGTTCTTAAATGCAAATCCTTGTCTGAAACTCTTCTTGGACAGATGTAATAGGACCCATTATCACCACACCAGAAATAAATATCCCTTTGATATCCCCAGAGTTAAACTTAATCTGTGTAAACACTATGCAAATAAAGGGACCCAGTTTATGGAACTCACTCCCTACTGAATTGAAAAGCTGTCCAACTTTTACATCATTCAAAATCAATACTAAAAAGTACCTAATTTCATCTTCATAGTTTTTCACTTTTTGCCTTAAAATTGCACTGTATCAATTGCTACCCAATCTCCCAACCTTTATGTTCCCAATTTGAACATCTTTACCATTGTAATCATTGCTGTTTTCTTATATGTGCTGCCAATCTGTTGTTTGGTGTTTATAAATCTTGTTTATCTGTATCTTTTGCTACCCAGTCTCCCAATCTTTATGTACCCAATCTGAACATCTTTACCATTGTGATCATTGCTGTCTTATATGTGCTGTCAATCTGCTGTATGGTGTCCATTAACCTTGTTTAAATTACTAATCAAGCTATCAATGTAATCAATCAGAGCTTTAATATAACAATATGCTTTAATATACCTACTTATCTCTCTCATCTCATTTTTCTCTTGTAATGTATCTTTATCATTTATCAATTCTGTTTGAAATTACCTACTTAAAATTATCTGCTAGATTAAGGACCTGCCCGAAACGCTGTGCGTACTAGTGGCTTTACAAGAATGTAAATACAGTACTGTACTATCCAATGTATTCTCACAAACCCAATGTACCTTCTTGTATATATATAAATAAATAAATAAATAAATAGTATGTGAAACTCTACATATTGTAATTTTAGTGAATTTTTAACAAGTAATATTGTGACAATAAACATTTATTGTGGACACATTACTGACACATGTATCAGTTCCATGGAACATTATGAACGTTCTACTGTATACATATTGTAAAGAACACAAATATGCATCATACACAAAAAAACAAATAAAAACCGCATTGGAAATACATAGAACAAATTGAAAATATATTTGTGGCAACACCCGGTGCTTGAATGGCCCGCGCGACCGTGTCTGGGCGAGTCACGCACGGGAAACCAGGCCCTGATGACGTCACAGCACACCTTGTCCATGTCTCCACAACCAAAGTAAGTGAAATTTGGTATTTATTTTTACATAGACATGTTCAGGAAAGAGAATTTATCATTTTACAAAGAAAAAAGAATTTTTTGGGAACACTTTAATTCATGCGCACGGGGAATTTCACAATAAACTCGGCACAGCACAGTGGTTAATAAACTAAATTTCCATTTCCATATACAAGATATTACTAAAAAGGTTTCTAAAACAGTAGGTTTAGTAAAACAGTAGTAAAACAAAACTCTCCAAAGTCAGATACTGTGTTCCTCACCCTGCCCTAGTTACTCTGTATTATTCATTCATTCATTTGTTCATTTCTCACCTATGGTGTCTGTGCCTGTGGATCCACCACCCTTAATTACCTCTGACATTTAATTACTGAACAAAAATCAGCAATTAGAACAATCATTAATTCCAGTCCCAGACACCATCCTGCTCCATTATGAAATCCTTGAACACGTTAAAAATCGAGTCTCTGCACATACGCTCAAGTGTTCTCTATATCATAAAACTCTGAAGTGTAATGCCAATCATGACCTTAAACACTTCCTAGAAGGTTGTAATAGAACTCACAGTCATCACATGAGAAACAAATCTCTCTTAGATATTTCTAGAGTGAGACCAACCAAAGCAGAAATGCAATGCAAATTAAGGTTCTCAAATTATGGAATGATCTCTCAAATGTAATCAAAAGTTATACGTCTCCCAATCAGTTTAAAAAGAGAGTAACATTTATTTAATATGTAATTATTATCTTATAATTAATACCATGTAACTAGTTTCACTCACATTTTCCTTTGTAATAAGTTACTGCGTTACTCTTCTTATTTTTTTTTGATTAAGCATTATGTACTTTCTACATATATTGTCATTTAATTTCTTGCATTTCTTTGTTAGTGTTTATTCATGTCCTTTACATTCCTTTTTTTTTTTGTTAGTATTGGACCCGTATGCCTTAAATTAGTACTGTACTGTATTTTACTTTGTTTTGTTACATTCCAAAGAAAATGTTACATGAGAGTCCAGTTGCTTTTGTAAACTACACCTTGTATTTCCATCCTGTTATTAAAGTTAATTCACTACTGTACTATCGCTACATCTACTGACTCCAAATCATTATAGTCTATGCCTGTCATCCTTATGTATTATGTTTTTACATTCATTTGTTATTTTCCAAGAATGTTCTCATTTTGTTAATTTACTTGTTTAGTATTAAGCACTTTACCCCCCTAATACATTTAATTAAATTTGTTGTCTATTTTATGTTCTGGCTGAAATGCTTTGCGTAATGGTGGCTTTGTTAGATGTGTAACCCCTGTCCCTATAATTTTACATTACTCTTATGCTCTTTGTACACACATTCTTGTGAATAAAGATTATGATTAAACAAATTCTGCAATTAGTCCATCAAAAATAAAAATACCTATAGAGCACAGCCTGCAGCATAATCCTATAAACTAAATCATGCTTGTGGGTATATTTGGCATGCTAATGGTTAACATGTTAAAGCCTCTACTCTGTTCATTACAAGGGACCTCATATTGCATACAACACTGAAATAGCATTAACTCACCTCAACCTCTTGACCATCTTCAGCTAACACAACCAATGACGAAGTTGACTGCAGGATCTTGGTGAGGTCCCTGAGAAAGCAACCAAAGAAAGGGATGACACGACATTCGGGCAGCATCAGTGCACGGTCTAAGGCAGCCTCATACTCGGTACGACTCTCCCCAAGGAGTACCCCAGTCAGGAAGTCCAAGACTGGAAGATGTTCATTTTCCAAGCTCAACCAGAATGGCTTCAGCTTTACTGATCTGCAGATTAAATTTAAATTAAAAACTTCCCTTCAAAAGGTAACTTATTCAGTCTTATGATTTTAAAATAGTTTATTACTGTACAGTAACCTTTGCCCAATCACCACCACTATATTGATAATCAGCCAATGCTAATCTTTTATTTGTAAAATATTAATTGCAATAAACTTAATATGAAAAATAGTTTCAATCCTCCCTTTATAAGCAGATCTTACACTGTACAGAGGTTGAAAATGGGAAACAGATTCATGGAAAATGAAAAGGAAATGTGTGAAACATTGAACAAAAAATTCCAAAGTGTGTTTGTACAAAATGAAATCTTCAGAGAACCAGACACAATAAGAATTCCAGAGAACAACATAGAGCACAGAGATGTCTAGAGACGAAGTGAAAAAAATGCTCAAGGAGCTATGTTAAAACAAAGCAATTGGCCCAGATCAAGTTTCACCATGGGTTCTGTGAGAATGTGCACCTGAGCTCAGTATTCCACTTCAACGGATTTTCCAGGCATCCCTGTGTACAGCAGTTGTAGCCGATGTGTGGAAAAAGGCTAACATAGTTCCAATCTACAAAAGTGGCAGTAGGGAAGACCCCCTCAATTATAGATGTTTATCATTGACAAGTGTAATACAGTAGTCAAAATATTGGAAAAATTAAAACTAAATGGGTAGAAAACCTGGAGAAAAAAAGATATAGTAACAAACCGTCAGTATGGTTTTCGATCTGGAAGATCCTGTGTAACAAATTTACTCAGTTTCTATGATCGAGTCAGAGATTTTACAGAAGAGAGATGGTTGGGTTGACTGCACCTATCTGGACCTAAAAGAGACTTGACAGAGTTCCCCACAAGAGGTTGGTCTGGAAACTGGAAACTGGGAGGGGTGACAGGTAGGCTACTAACATGGATGAAAAACATTGACAGAAAAATGAGGGCAGTAATTCGAGGCAATGTGTAGAACTGGAGAAATATCACGATTGGAGTACCACAGGTCTCAGTTTTTGCACTGGTAATGTTCATTGTCTACATAAATGATCTACCAGATGGAAAACAATAATATGAACATGTTTGCTGATCATGCTAAGATAATATGAAAGATAAGAAACTTAAATGATTGTCATGCCCTTCAAGAAGTCCTGGACAAAATAAGTTTGGAGCACCACTTGACAAATTGAATTTAATGTGAATAAATGCCATGTTATGGAATGTGGAATAGAACACACCCCACACAACCTATAAATTTTGTGAGAAATCTTTAAAGAATTCTGATAAAGAAATATCTAGGGGTGGTTTTAGATAGAAAACTATCACCTGAGGACCACATAAACATTGTGCAAGGAGCCTATGCTACACTTTCTAACTTTAGAATTGCTTTTAAATACTGTACATGGATGGTGAAATACAGTACTAGACAAATTGTTCACGACTTTTGTTAGACCAAAGCTGGAATATGCAACAGTTGCATGGTGCCCCCATATCTTAACACATTAACCACTGCACTGTGCCAAACGACAAATGCTGTTCGCCGATTACTGCGCAAACCGGCAAAAGTATTTTATATTTTTTTTGTACACGGTCGAAACGCGCTCGCGGTAGGTTGGGTACGAAATGGATGCTTGGGACCTCCAGTGAGAGGCAGCCATCTTGGAAAAAATTACCAGAATGTCGTAGGGCTGCTGGCTGGGTTAGTACCGAGTGGGCAACCATGGGTGGTGCACGCGCCTTTGGCTCCCAAACACCTGTCCGACATGGTGTTGAAAGATTGCTTGAAGAACATAAGGGTCATGATATTGATGAAGCTAGGCGCAATAAGGACCTAACACAAAGGTCGGATGCAAGTGATACAGCACCTATTAAGATGATACAGTGTGCGTATCCAGTTGTAGCTCTAAGCGCCACCCTTGCCCACATATGCCATTTCCAATTTATATAGATGATACATAGATGAATCGTTTTCTGGGTTCAGTGATAATGCATCCGATATAAGTAGCATAGATGAACAGTGTTAGTGGCTTCTATTGTGGTGTTTTCCACAGATATTTTCAATAGCCAAATCTCTTCCAGAATGCCCGAATCTCTTTCAGATTGACTGACACTCTTCGAGAATGACAATCTCTTCCAGTGTGGGACCTTACAAAGCGATCTTTTCAAGACTACCTTACAAATTGATCTTTTCCTATAATCTTTTCAAGATTACCTTATGCTTTACAAGCTTGCTACATACCACCTACAAGTACTAAAGCCAAGGGTGTATGTAAGTGAATTATTTGCAAGCACACAGAATGAAGAAACAGGAAGCAAAAATCTATTTGCACCTGGTGCAACACGAGCGAAGTCGCACTGTGTACTATGGACTACTTCGTTGATTATTACTCACTTCCGAAGTACTGAGTGTGAAATACAGTGTGTTACTGTGTAAATAGTGAGTGAAACTGTACATATTGTAATTTTAGTGAATTTTTAACAAATAATATTGTGACAAACATACATTGTGGACACATTACTGGCACATGTATCACAGTGCTATGAAACATTATGAACGTTCTACTGTACACACATTGTAAAGGACACAAATATGCATCATATACAATAAAACAACAAATAAAACCACATTGGAAATACATAGAACAAATTTATTGTATATGTAAACAAGAAGTTGACATAATAGCACTAGAGATCTGCCATGAGGATGATAAACTAATGATCATAAATGCACATAGTCCACCACCAAGCAGCACATGGTCAATGGAGGAGCTAGATAGTAAACAAGAAGGTCTTATAACAATAATGAGAGATATCATAGCGAGAGCGGATAACGATAGTTCACGACTGTTGATAGTCGGCGAATTCAACTTGAAATCCATAGACTGGGAAGCATATGAAGCTAAAACAGAAGATTTTTGGACCTGTAAATTTGTAGACCTCATCCTGGAAACATGTTTGTATCAACATGTTAAACAAGCTACGAGGATGAGGGAAGGGGACGTTCCCTCCATGCTAGATTTGATATTTACCAGGTAGGAGGAAGAAATATTTGACATTCAGTACCTTCCTCCCTTGGGTAAAAGTGACCATGTCTTTTTGGGAATAAAGTATGCAATGCGTTATAATCTGGAAGAAAATATGAAGGTTGATGCAATTGAAAAACCCGACTTTAGGAGAGGACATTATGGCAACCTTAGAAAAAGTTTTAGTGAGTATAATTGGACAGACTTATTGCTAGGCAAGGAAGTGAATGAGATGTATGTCAAGTTTTGTGAAATATGTGATAAAGGCACAAAAAAATTTATACCAAAACAGAGATGCAGAACTAGGAAATAGGATTGGTTCAACAGAAATTGCAAGAGGGCCAGAGACCAAAAGACACAAAAATGGAATCAATACATGAAGAGGCCAAACCCCCAAACATACCAGCAATACAAAGATGCAAGAAACAACTACATGGCAGTAAGGAGAGAGGCAGAAAGAAATTTTGAAAGAGAGATTGCAGATAAATGTAAAACAGAACCAGGTCTATTCTATAAATTCATAAACAACAAATTGCAGGTAAAGGATAATATTCAGAGGTTGAAAATGGGAAATAGATTCAAAGAAAATTAAAAGGAAATGTGTGAAACATTAAACGCAAAGCTCCCAAGTGTGTTTGTACAAAATGAAATCTTCAGGGAACCAGATACAATAAGAATTCCAGAGAACAACATAGAGCACATAGAGGTGTCTAGAGACGAAGTGGAAAAACTGCTCAAGGAGCTAAATAAGAACAAACCAGTTAGTCCAGATGGAGTTTCACCATGGGTTCTGAGAGAATGTGCACCTGAGCTCAGCATTCCACTTCAACTGATTTTTCAGGCATCCCTGTTTACAGGAGTTGTAGCTGATGTGTGGAAAAAAGCTAACATGGTTCCACTCTACAAAAGTGGAAGCAGGGAAGACCCCCTTAATTATAGACCGGTATCATTGACAAGTGTAATAATCAAAATATTGGAAAAAAATAATTAAAACTAAATGGGTAGGACACCTGGAGAGAAATGATATAATATCAGACAGACAGTATGGTTTTCGATCTGGAAGATCCTGTGTATCGAATTTACTCAGTTTCTATGATCGAGCAACAGAGATATTACAGGAAAGAGATGGTTGGGTTGACTGCATCTATCTGGACCTAAAAAAGGCTTTCAACAGTTCCACATAAGAGGTTGTTCTGGAAACTGGAAAATATTGGAGGGGTGACAGGTAAGCTTCTAACATGGATGAAAAATTTTCAGACTGATAGAAAAATGAGGGCAGTGATCAGAGGCAATGTATCGGACTGGAGAAATGTCACAAGTGGAGTACCACAGGGTTCAGTTCTTGCACCAGTGATTTTTATTGTCTACATAAATGATCTACCAGTTGATATACAGAATTATATGAACATGTTGGCTGATGATGCTAAGATAATAGGAAGGATAAGAAACTTAGATGATTGTCATGCCCTTCAAGATGACCTGGACAAAATAAGTATATGGAGCACCATTTGGCAAATGGAATTTAATGTTAATAAATGCCATGTTATGGAATGTGGAATAGGAGAACATAGACCTCACACAACCTATATATTATGTGAGAAATCTTTAAAGAATTCTGATAAAGAAAGAGATCTAGGGGTGGTTCTAGATAGAAAACTATCACCTGAGGACCACAAAGAATATTGTGCAAGGAGCCTATGCCACGCTTTCTAACTTCAGAATTGCTTTTAAATACATGGATGGCGATATACTAAAGAAATTGTTCACGACTTTTGTTAGGCCAAAGCTAGAATATGCAGCAGTTGTGTGGTGCCAATATCTTAAGAAGCACATCAACAAACTGGAAAAGATGCAAAGACATGCTACTAAGTGGCTCCCAGAACTGAAGGGCAAGAGCTACGAGGAGAGGTTAGAGGCATTAAATATGCCAAAACTAGAAGACACAAGAAAAAGTGGTGATATGATCACTACATACAAAATAGTAACAGGAATTGATAAAATCGATAGGGAAGATTTCCTGAGGCCTGGAACTTTAAGAACAAGAGGTCATAGATTTAAACTAGCTAAACACAGATGCCGAAGAAATATAAGAAAATTCACTTTCGCAAACAGAGTGGTAGACGGTTGGAACAAGTTAGGTGAGAAGGTGGTGGAGGCCAAGACCATCAGTAGTTTCACAGCGTTATATGACAAAGAGTGCTGGGAAGACGGGACACCACGAGCGTAGCTCTCATCCTGTAACTACACTTAGGTAATTACACTTAGGTAATTACCACAAACAATATCCAACACCCATCCAAAAACCAAGAACCAGCGCCTGGCTGAGACAGTGTTGCCAAACCATATATGTAATCTCACCTGTAAAGCATTAGGCACTATCTTGTCACAACACAGTTTAGCCGTGTAATATTCTGGGAGCATCGCTAGTAGAGTATGTCCAGAGCTGCGTGTGCAGTAGGGGGAAGATTAGGTATAGTGTAGAGGTGGAGGCAGCATCACTCCGAGCCACCCCACACCCGTATGCAGAGAAAAGAACCAGGCGTTTTCCCCATATATAAAATCAAGAACTCCCCCAGTATCTAGGCTATGACCGGAAAGATAACACAAGCTAGAGCAGCGTATTACCCATGATAAGGTCGTGGAACTCCCACATGTGTACGCCATCCATAAACAAAAAAAAAAAAACACCCATGGCCCATGCACAGAATGCATGAGGTATGAGCCACACCACCCATCTTGCAAGGAGGGGTGCCTAAAAGTGTTATTTAACGGTTATTAGTAACATTGAGACAGTATGGAAAGAAGATGTGATTATAAAATAATTAGATATAGTATCGAAAGATGATTAGTAATATGGAAGAGGACCAACGAGTCCTATAAAGGACTGGAGGTAAGCCTCACCGGAAGTCAACAGATGTTCCAATAATGTTGTAAGTATCAAGATCGTCTCGAACCTTCGAGATTCTTGACTATCAAGCACAAAATCACGGAGGCTCATATGGCATCTGTGACTAATGTTTGTGCAGGATCCAGATACGATTTGAACACGACTTCGACATCATGTAGAAGAATACATGTCCTAGATAAGAACGGCGAGAAAGTGGTTAAAATTACCCACAGGAAGGATGGAACTGACGCACCCGAAGGGACACAGAAAAGCCCCGCACTGAGAGTTGGAAAACTCAGGCGGGGTCCAACGGGGCCCAAGGCCCCAAGTCAGCTCCTCCCCAACCCCAGGAACCTCCATGTCAGACTCCAGGAGGCGAGTCATCCTCCAAGGCCCCGGCCTCACAAGAAAACACCGGGGCAGCTGGAAAAGCAAGAATAAAAGAAGCCCACTTGTCAGACCCCAGTGCTACAGCAGGAGGAATAGACTCAAATGCCTCCATCACCACCCCGGAAGGGGCAACCCCTGAGTCTCAGAAACCTCTAAACCCTGCCCTGACTCCGAAGCCCTCAGACGCTTCAGAGCCAGAAGCAAGGGTGGGGGACAGAACCACAGCAGGGGAAGAACGAGGGGGTGCAGACCGAACCAAGGCCGAAGCAACCAACACCCCTAAGTCTGGATCCCAATCAGCAAAGCGAGGCAGCCTCGGGGCATCCAACTGATGCCAAAGTCTAATGACATACATACCAGCCTGGACAGCTCCGGAGAGCCAAAGGGGCTCAGTCTAGAAAAAAATATTGTATGTGACATACTTTAGCCGCAATGCAGCTGGGAAGTTGAGCATATTATGGGCACTGAGCGATGGAGCACTCAAGGTTACTAGGCCCTGTCACCCCGTGGGGAGGCAGTTGCCGCGAATGTAATGTTTCACAATTATTTTTATATTTCTCATTTGTTTCTTCTCTGGTTTTATGCTGTACAGTATTATTATTATTCAAAAGTGTGTAATTTGTGGAATTTATATAGTTCAATGTGTGGAACATTGCTATGCTCAAAATTATGGGGCTCATATATGTGACATGTATATTATATTCTACAATCAACCAAACTGTCTTTACTGTTATTACACTATATACACACACATTTTATATACACCTAATCTACATTTATGTTCACCATAGCAAACCACTAAGCTGGTATAGTGATTTCTAAACAATAACATGTTGCCACACACCAGCAAGCAGCCGACGCCACCTTCCTCCCTCCCCTCTCACCAACAATACTCCTCCTACCACTAATTAACATGATTAATTCTCACCACAATCATGCCGTTATCTGAATTCTGGTCACTAAATCATGTAAATGAATAATTTTCCACATGTTTATTTTGTAAAGGAACATGAGAAATCGTTTGAAGAATTTTAGATGGACGAAATAATGGCAGTGTGCTGTGGCTAGCACTGTGAACATCTTTGAACAGAATTTATTCACTGATATCTGAACACTGTACACAGTCTTTATCACAGTCAAGCTCTTCTGAAATACTATCATGGATAAATAATACCAGACATATATATATGGAAAATTTTATGTGATGCTGTGGTCGAAAGCTGAACAGCAGTGCTGTTAGCTCATGCTTGTGTGCCAGCCTTGGTTGCTCACTCAATACTGAGGCCTTCACACCTGGGAATGTTGCCCACAATTTTTTTTTAAATGGCATCTGTTTAGGAGAGCCCTGAGGAAGCTGATGCGAACCCCGTGTAGCCGCTGGAGTTTTAAATGATACGCTATACCTATGAGATCCCTAAGGAGCATTGTGCACCAACCGTGGAAAGCCTCAAAGCATGATGCGCAGTACAGTGGTTAATCAAACCCCTCTGTTCCTCCTGAAACTCCATCACCTTGTGACCTTCAATCAGTTCCTTGAGTATTTAATCTGTTCTTGTTGAACACTTCCCAACAACCCCATCTATAGCACCTTTACTATTAAGCACTTCACATCTATACCAAGAGCAGCAGTGAAAGGGCAACAAAAGTCTAGAATGTACATGCTTGAATTTTAGTAAAAATAAATAGGGTATAGTATATTTGTCTAATCCCCTGTACAGGTTTTACTCCATCTGGAGCCTCCATCTTTGAAAAAGCATTCACTCAAACTATTAAGATGTTTAATTTCTGGCTTCTGATTTATTACATGACACACCTGCCATACTAAATACTTCTCTAACACTTACTTGAGGCCAGTGATAATCTCCATGGCACCATTGAAATTCGCCATGTTCCAACAGGAGAGAGCAACCCGCAAGATGCAAGACAACACTGCCTTCCTGTCCTCGTGGGTTGGCTGGGATACAATGACGTGTGTTATCCATGATGAAACCTGCAGTGTTGAAATAATGAGAATTGTCAGCTAACTTTTAGATTATTATTCAATAAATGCAAATCTTATTTGTTTTGTGGGGTGGGCATGGGCAGGATCGGAGGAATATTTAAAGAAAATATCTCATCTCTTGGTTAAAATGTAAGGATCATCCCCCAATAATAATTTGTGAACTTCCAAAAAGAACAGCGTTGAATGTAATGAAACGCCATTTTCTGGGCGAGTCCCAAAGGCTCCCCAAAGCTATCCAGGCTGATATGTATATCTCTAGAATTTGGCATCAGTTGATGTGGATGGAGTTCAAGGCCTACTGGAAACCACAAGCCAGTACCTGGCCCCTTCAGAGAGGCACGAGGAGCAATGGCTGATAGAATTGCACATGTGATTTGGAGCATTCTTATATCTGCCATCGACCGGGACAGGCACCCAGAAAGGTAAGTGCCCCAAAACAACAGAGCCAGCTGCTATAATAGGGGCTAACTAGCTGTGCAGTACCCCACACCCCTACCAGTGAGGAAACTACCCCCCCCCTCTTCCCAGAGGTAAACAAGGGCCAAAAAAAAAAAAAAAAAGCTGACGTCAAGGGTGGCCAAGTATTGAGTAGTAAAAGACACAGCAGAGGTAGGTCCCAAAGTGACTTGTGGAAGGTGACCCCAAGCTCCAAGGGCAGTACTTACTAGGCACCTAAGGTAGGAAACTATAGGCGCATGCAGCCCGAGTACTGCAAAATATTACTCCTGGCTCGCACACCACCTGTAGAGACAGACCATGCCACAAGGCACAGAAACCGAAATCAAAGCAGGAGCCAGAGGTACATGACCTGCCAGTATCACATCAGCCAAGAATTGCCAGATGGATCGCTGGCGAGGGGTCTGGGGCTCCCACTCTTCCCCCTCCCGGGGAAGGGGGTGTTGTGCAGACAGCGGCGTGGCAACGTGATGACATCATGCTCATTTGCTAATTTTCATTCGGGGAATTCTATCACCTCGTTTGGCTTACAGTAGCAATATTTTCACCAGAATAAGGGGTTTGTTTTGGGGTGCCTACCTTTCTGAGTGCCAGACATGGTCAATGGCACATAGAATGCGCCCAACCACACAGGGGGGGGGGGTTTATAGGTTCTGTATAGGTTTCTACAGGTTCTGGCTCATGGTCCCCAGTAAGCAAGAACTCCATGCACTTTGACTGATGCCAAAAAGCTAATAGGTATACTGTATATCAGCCTGGATAGCTCCGGGGAGCTGACAAGGCTTCCCCAGAAAATTGCCTTGTCACCCATGCCTATTAGCCCTCCACATCACACACAGTTTGTTTTTCTGCACACTTTATTTTTTGAAAACCCTTGGATTTTCGTAATGATACACAAGCAAGGGTTTAATTTTCAAATCGCCACTCGCATTACCACACAGCACAAGAGTTAGCCTATCTTTCATAGGCTTGTGTCTGAGTAACGACGTCTCCTCTTGGGTAATGTATGTCCTCTTCAGCAATTTTTTCCAGAATAGCCTTGTCTCGTCACAATTAAACACTTGTTGTGGTATGTATCCCTATCTACAAAATCTTTAAAATCACGAACAAATCTTTCAGCCAGTGGTTTGTCTGAAATTGCACCCTAACCATGCCTCACAACACTATGAATGCCAGTTCCTTTTCTAAATTTCTCAAACCATCCCCTGCTCACCTTAAACTCTTTCACATCTGCATCACTCGTTCCTGGGGTTATCTTTACCACATCTTCATGCAACATCCTTGCTTTTTCACAAATGATAGCCTCTGAAACGCTATCACCCATGATAACTGCTCCTTGTTTATCCAATTTAATAAAAACATTTCTACAGCCTCAAGTGTTTGTGTTCTTTGTTTTGTGATTATTGTTAGGCCTTTTGCCACTTTAGCACTCGTAATTTCACAAGTGACTGTGGTTCCACCGTATCTTCATGACGTAATGCTAGCAGACTTTGGGTTGCTTGTGGTGGCTTTGGGTATCTCTGGGTAATTCTACAGACCTCCATGATTAGTTTCACCAAGTCCTGATAGAGTGGGACACTGTTTCTGAGGGGGAAAAGGAGGGTTTGTAGTCACAGGACAAATGGTTATTGTGAGGGGGAGGCTTTGCTCCCACCCCCCACCACCACACTCTGTAGCACAATTTTCTCCATTTGGGTAACCCCCCCCCAGGGTACTGGTACTCTAGGCTTGATCTGTTGGCTGTTGCGACTCCATTGCAACAGATCCTGATGACCCAGGTCACATCTGATTACTTGTTTGGATTACTCATGTGAAAATGAATCCAATGACATCTAACTTGATACACTTTGGACATTACCTAATGAAGGTAGATCTTTAAGCACTTATGTAAGCAATAAATTTGAGCTATGAGAGTGTCAACCCTCACACTTGCACCCACCTGCCTACCTCTCCCCCATGACTGCCTCTTCCCTGCACACCTGCACACAGAAGTAACACCACATGAGACCAGGAGGCATGGCAGGATGTGCAGAATACCCCCGTTGAAGAGCAGAGGTGCAACAGGTACTCACAGAGAACTATCAACATTAGAGGCCCGAGACTGTTCAACACGCTTCCACTACACATAAGGGGCATAACTGGCAATCCCCTCACAGTGTTCAAGAGAGAACTGGATAAGCACCTCCAAAGGATACCTGATCAACCAGGCTGTGACTCATATGTCAGGCTGCGAGCAGCCGCGTCCAACAGCCTGGTTGATCAGTCCAGCAACCAGGAGGCCTGGTCGATAACCGGGCCGCGGGGATGCTAAGCCCCGGAAGCACCTCAAGGTAACCTCCCCCATGCCTGCCTGCCAGCCAGCCAGTTAGTTATCCACCTGTTCACCCAGCCCATGTATCTGTTCACCCACTTGTTGATAGTACTCACAGAGAACTATCAACATTAGAGGCCCGAGACTGTTCAACACGCTTCCACTACACATAAGGGGCATAACTGGCAATCCCCTCACAGTGTTCAAGAGAGAACTGGATAAGCACCTCCAAAGGATACCTGATCAACCAGGCTGTGACTCATATGTCAGGCTGCGAGCAGCCGCGTCCAACAGCCTGGTTGATCAGTCCAGCAACCAGGAGGCCTGGTCGATAACCGGGCCGCGGGGATGCTAAGCCCCGGAAGCACCTCAAGGTAACCTCCCCCATGCCTGCCTGCCAGCCAGCCAGTTAGTTATCCACCTGTTCATCCAGCCCATGTATCTGTTCACCCACTTGCCCCACCCACCTACCAGCCAGCCAGCCAGCCAGCCAGCTGACCACCCAGCCAGCCAGCTGACCACCCAGCCAGCCACACACTAATTATAGTGTGGGGAAATTTATATTATGTTGGTTGTGGTACATAAACTTACAAATATGTTCACTTTTTTACTTCCCCAGTTAAAATTCTGCTTATCAACATGTCGGCCTTATATGGCAGGGGCCTTCCCATATAACTCGGATAAGCGAACTTATAAAGTAGTAACAAAATATATGATAATGATATTAGTGAGCAATTTGCATAAACAAAGCTGAAAGAACAGTTATTAAAATTAACAGATTTCATATCCAAAAAATTAACTTTGCACTCTCAGGGGTAGTGACCATGCATGTTATCTTGAGAGTAACAATGTGCTTACCTCCTTGAACCTCTTGGTGAGATGGGCTACAGCAGCAGTGGTTGAGCTAGAGAATTGGTGGACCCTGGATCGAGGCCGCAGGTCACTGGTAATGTGACGGATGTAAGCAATTGGTGGGACTCTGTAATAGAGCTCATATTCTACCTCTGTCAACTTCAGTGCCACTTCCTCGGGGAAGTGGAGGAGCTTCTGCAGGCCCTCAAGCTCATCCGAGTACAGCATTCCCATCCCTGTTCCATGTCGTACCAGCTCCGAACCTGTGGGAACCATTAGAGTTGTACATCGTAGCTTACAGGAAGCAAAGAAACTGCTTTTTATTGGATTGGAAAGTACTTGCCTAGATATTCTGCCCTAAATTTGACAATGGTTAAGCATTAGCTTCCTAGCTTTGCCTTTCAAATACAAATATTTATTCAGGTAAAGTACATACATACAAGGTGAGATACAAAAAGTTGTTGGATTTATAGATAGAGTTAGTACATACAATGCCTAAAGCCACTATTACGCGAAGCGTTTCGGGCAGGAAAAACACCAAGACTAAAACTTAATACTAATTGAGATTAAAGTATAAATTGTGTTGAGGAGGAGAAGAAAAAAAAAATAAAAGAAAGGGCCAGTCCTTGTTCAATACCAGTAATTATTATTACATTCACATTTTTCTCTTTTCCCGTGTTATAATTCAGCAGGAAGAGAAACGAACGAGTGATCTACATGGCGTTTATTTACCGTAGACCATGACATCACCAGGTTATTGGTTACACGACTTACTATTTACAATGCTTATAAAACGAAAAAGTATCCGCTTGAAACATTATGGTTCAGTTAGTACTACCTAACCTAAGTAGTACTTAAGTTTCATAGCATCAGGAAAAGATTTTAATAAATGTTTCGGTAACAAATTTATTCTTGGAAGACTGGTCTGATTTTAAAGTTTTCTTGAACATGTGGAGCTTTATTAGTTAACTAATAAGGCTTTATTAAAAGTACCATGCTTCCAGTAAAGTTTTAAATTAATTTATTTCTTTATTAAAATCCAGAAATGTGCACCACTTTCGTTTTATGTCAAAATAATATGGATATTTTTCTTCACAGCTCCTGAAATACAAATGGGAAAGCCAAGACCAATATGTGATATAAGTAATTTTGTCCAAAAATATTGGTCTCAATGGAGTAATCTGTCTGCAAATGTAGTTTATTTCAGTGATAAGGAGAAACACTGTACACCCAACATGTAAAGCCCTACACAGGATACCACGAGCATAGCTCTCATCCTGTAACTACACTTGGGTAATTACAGTAAATTAAGTCATTAGAGTATTTATTCACTATATTTTTAACCCCTTAATCCTACAACATACCTTAATCCTAACACTTGTTTACAAGAGCTGTGTCCCTTTTAACCTATTTTGTCCCAGAGATGATCTTGTCCCTGTTCCAATCCTTGCAATTGGACTACAGTGTTGAAGAATAGCTATCATCATTCTAACCAATGCAGCAGCAAGTTCAGATCTTTCTGAAGCCTCTCAAAATCATCTTATCAGCATTTCATCATCTGCTAACAGGAATATAAATTATCCTATTCACTTTGCCAGGTCATTTACATACATAAGTCATATAATGTACCCCAGTAATTACCTAAGTGTAGCTAAAAGATGAGAGTTACGCTCGTAGTTTTCCATCTTCCCGGTACTTTTTATCATATGATGCTTTGAAACTACTGAAGGTTTTGGCCTTAACCACTACCTCACTTGGTCCATCTACCACTGTTTGCAACAGTGATCTTTTCTAATGTTTTTTGGGGTAATTTTTTTTTTTTTTTTTTTTTTTAGTTTGAACCTATGTCCTCTTGTTCTTGAAGTTCCAGTTTTCAAAAATTCTTTGGCAATTTTGTAGATTCCCATTACTATTTTGTATGTAGTGATCATATAAGCTTTTTCCTTCTGCTGTCATGTTTCGGTATATTTACAGTCTCCGTGATGTAGTGGTAAGGGTTCGTATCCTGGCCGGGGAGGATTTACTGGGCGCAATTCCTTAACTGTAGCCTCTGTTTAACTCAACAGTAAAATGTGTACTTGGTTGTAACAAGGATTCTTCGCGGCGGGGATCGTATTCCAGGGACCTGCCCGAAACGCTACGCATACTAGTGGCTCTACAAGAATGTAACAACTCTTGTATATATCTCAAAAAAAAAAAAAAAAATTACCACCTCTGACCACTCTCGTCATAGCTCTTGTTTTTCAGTTCTGGAAGCCAATTAGTTGAATGTCTCCACTTTTCCAGTTTATTAATGTGTTTGAGATATGGGCATCATACAACTGTTGTATATTCAAATTTTGGTCTTGCCAAGGTCATCAACAATTTCTTTATTATTTCACCATTTAAAAGAGATTCAAGTCTGGTCTTCATTACTGTACTTGCAAAATGAAGACACCCGAGGAGTATCTGAAACATGTCTCGAGACATATATTTCCCGAACAAAGGTGTTGGAACAGAGTGGTCTTTGCTCCAATTATCCGAGATGACGTGTTTTACACAATGTTTCATCAACATACATAGTGTAAGAATACATACATTTCACCTACATTAGTGTTTTTCCAACATTGTAATTGTGAAAAATCTGTTAACTCATGTTCAATGAGATCAGCCACATAAGTGTTAGCTTCCTAAACAATATGTTTTATGAGCGATTCATCAAAATATGCAGTAAAAAAAAGTCCATTTCCCACATGTCCTCACCTGTATCAGGAAAAAGGTCTGTAATCCCAACATCTATATTGTCAAAGGCAGGAATTAGTGGAACAAAATCTTCCTCACTCCACACAAGTACACCTGGTGTCTTGCGAGACATAACAGCAGTACCACAGCAAGGAATCCTTGCACACTGTAGACCAGGAGCTGAAGCCCATCTATGCACAGTACGGGCGTGAAAATAAATCACGTGAACATAAGGGCCTTTGTTCTTCATTGTCTCCATGTGGTGCCATGCGGCAGTATTTGGTTGGGCAAAACGCTGCTGATGTGACAAAGCATCGCTTGGTAACACCACACTCAACTGGCACGATAATACTCCTTTCTGCTTCAACTTCACTAGAACCAGAAAGAGAGTCACCTTCTGACTCTTCACCAAAAACATCCTCATACTGCACATAACCACATGAACTGTGTGATCGGGAGCAAACTGGTGTAGAGAGTGAGTGAGGAGGCAGTGGTGAACGTGTAGGCCTCACTCTCGGAGCAGGCACAACATTATTTTCCCTCTCCGTTTTATTCCCATTGGACTTCTGTGTATAGTCTTTATCGATGTCAGAGTCATCAATATCAGTTTCCTCATCATCAGAAAATAATTCAGTATGAATTTCATCCTCAGTCAACGAATGGGTGCTGCAGAGCGTTGAACGGGGTTGGGCGTTGGAATGTGATGCTCTCGCCATCATGTCTGCTGAGTAACTGAGGCTCCCAAACAATAGCGGCCTATGCTAGATTTTTTCCAAGATGGTGTCCGTTTACTATAGCCCCTAGGCAGCGTATGGGTGCCCGTCTAACCCGCAGGCCGTTTAAATCTTGAACGGTACTCCAACACATCAATAGCTGTGGTGTGCAATTCCACATCAGTTACTCAACCACAGCTATTGACGTGTTGCGCAGTTTAAGGGTTATGGAACTCACTAACAAATTAAAAAGCTGTCCAACCTATGCCTTATTTAAAAGTAAAACCAAAAAGTACCTAATTTCATCCTCAGTTTCCTACCGAGTGCTTCAAACTCGCACTGTATCTTGCGCTACGCAGTTCCCCATTATATGTGCACAAGCCATGCAACTTCACCATTGTAATCACTGCTATCAACTTATATCATGTTATGTCGAGTGCATATTTTACTACAATACTGTATACCTATTAACAATTCTCCAATTTTGCTACAATATACCTGTTGATAATCCTAAAATTTTACTACAATGTACCCATTAATTTTGCTACAAATTACTTACTTAAAATTATCTGCTAGATTAAGGACCTGCCCGAAATGCTATTCGTGTTAGTAGCCTTGCAAGAATGTAAAAAACACCAATGCTATGTACTCTCTCAAACCCAATGTACCTTCTTGCGTTTAAATAAATAAATAAATAAAAAGAACGGATTGATGTGATCCTTAATGAAGTGTTTGGTACCAGGCATATGAGTGAGAAGGTAGGAAGGCAGGACTACTAGATTACCCGTGTTGCCACCTGGTGGTGCACTTGGGTACAAGTTCATAGTTTATTGACATTAGGTAAACTAGCATGTCTCTTGTTTCCATCCTCTCCCTCCCCCCCCCTCTCCCTCCCTCCCTCCCTCATCCCCCTCTCCCTCCCTCTCGCAAAGAGTAATCACACTAATGTGACTGCATCAATGAGGAAAATCCAGAGCCGTGATGAGGGTTCGAACCTATGTGGTGATTGTTCCCATGTACATCCTCTCTAGATAGTTAGACCATGACATAGTGGTCTACCATGTCGTGATCTAGGCATCTAGAGGGTGTGCGTGGGAACACCTTCCCCTCCCCACATAGGTTTGAACCCTCATCACAGCTCCTATGGATTTTCTCTTCTCTCGATTAAAGATACAATTTGTTTTGCTCACCAAATACATACTGGGTTGTTTTTCTCACTTTAGAACCAAGTTCAGATCTCCACGTTTCCCTCAGCTCTCTGAGCACCGCAGTTTTGGTTTTAGAGGTCAATAAGTCTGTGCAAGTCCAGAGGCCAGGTAGTTTTGGTAATGTGTCTGATACAAGTGCCAATGCATTGAGGAGTTACTGAGAATCAGCCCATAAAGTATATACTGTAGTATGATATGTACAATAGTAAATAATCCTAATTTTGTGCTTCAGTGAACCAATGTATAACCCTGAAATGTTATCCTAATGTACCTAGTAATCCTTGCTCATTATTGGGTATTGTTATTACTGGGTATTTTTCTGATTTGCTTTTGTGTCAAAATTTCTTGTAATGTACCTGTAAACATTTTTTGTCAATTTTACTGTGAATTATCTAAAAATTATCTGTTAGTTTAAGGACTTGCCTGAAACACTATGCATGCTAGTGGCTTATAAGAATGTAAACTCAACTTCATTTCCATGTTCTCTGTTAACCCCCAATGTACCTTCTTGTATATAAATAAATAAATAAATAAATAAATAAATAAATACAGTACACAATAATATATTCTGAAGTCATGCTTGAGCAAAACAGCTAAGAACTTAAACTTATTTCCAAGTTTAACAAAAATTTATATTGTTTTTGCATGAAACTGAAAATAGAGAACTTTCAGGATAAAGAAAAAAAAAGTGTTAAGTGAGTCTTCACCTGTCCTGTGGGAGGCAAGTTGTGCCTGGTCTGGGGTGGCAAAGGGAAGTGGGTCCTCAGTCTGCAGGATAGACCAGAGAGCCCGTCCCAGGTCAGTCATACTGTTGCTGGAGACCACACTGAATATCCAGTTGGTACCACGAAACTCCAGCACCAGTCGGTCATGGGATCTCCCGCCACCAGTTCGCCACTGTTGAGGAAAGATATGCAAAATATATTCAATCTCTGTGCCATCTTCTCTACATTTTTTTTTTAATAAAAATAAAAAAAATATTAATACAGTATTAAGAACATCCATGATGAGGATTCAAACCTATGCACTGGGAATACCCGGACATATATACTCTAGACAACTAGGCCACGACATGGTAAAAGGATTGCAACCTGGGGTTCTACTGAAGCAACGAGGATTCCCGAGGATTCCACTGAAGCCCAACTAGGGTTTCGCACAACCTCCCTTGCCCCCATGCCCTCTGACATCACGGTGTAGGAATTTTGCTGCTGACGCCCCTCTTTCAATCAAACCTAGTGTATAGATTTGAATCCTCATCACGGCTCCTATAGATTTTCTCTTTGATACATCAGGTTACTCTGATTTCTCTGTGTATTAAAAAAAGGGGAATCAGGTGGAATTCCTAGATGACAGACCCAGAGTACATAGGGGGATTATACCTACCATTACTGCAGATGTCGTTGTAGCCACTACATTCATTTTTAATAAAACACATTAAAAGTGAAGTGAATTTTTTTTTTTCTAAAAAGGTGATTGGGTCACCTTTGTTATCAAGCTTTCATCACTTGATAACCATCATCACCCAACAGATGGGTGATAATGGGCTTGAGGTAATTTGCAGTGGTTGAACCCCCATGCCCAGATACCATGTGTAAGATAGGGATAGATTAGCAAGTAATATAGTGAGGAGAGCAGAGTTTGGAACATAATATATCTGATTTTAGAGAGTATACCAACCGTTGTTGAGACTTTCTTGGTTATGTGTTGTATGTGGATGCTGAAGTCGAGTCTGCTGTCTAAGTATAGACCAAGGAACTTTCCATCATTTTTACATATTACTGACGCCAAAACCGTCAGTAATTTCAAAGCGTTATATGACAGTGCTGGGAAGATGGGACACCACGAGCGTAGCTCATCTTGTAACTACACTTAGATAATTACACAGCCAATGGCACCCCTAATACTCCTAATGTGTGTGTTAGGGGCTTTGCGAGAATGTAAAAACACCAATATTATGTTCTCTATCGAATGTGCCTTCTTTTAATATATAAATAAATAAATATTACAAGAGAAATTGTTGATACAGTATAGCTAATAGAAACACATGGTGGTGAAGGTGGTACTCACCTGCAGAAGGTCATGGGTGCTCTGGGGCTGGAGAGTACATGGCGGTGAAGGTGGTACTCACCTGCAGAAGGTCATGGTACTCTGGGCCTGGAGAGTACATGGCGGTGAAGGTGGTACTCACCTGTAGAAGGTCATGGTACTCTGGGCCTGGAGAGTACATGGTGGTGAAGGTGGTACTCACCTGCAGAAGGTCATGGGTGCTCTGGGCCTGGAGAGTACATGGTGGTGAAGGTGGTACTCACCTGCAGAAGGTCATGGGTGCTCTGGGCCTTGGCGAGTATTTTGGTCTTGGTGTCCAGCAAGACGATATTGTTGGCGCCAATTCCCAGCAGCCGCGATGCCTGCCGGAGTGGACGGTGGTCAGTTTTACTATGGTAATGGGGTCTGTGAATGGCGATGGGGGTCTGTGAATGGCGATGGGGGTCTGTGAATGGTGATGGGGGCCTGTGTATGGTGATGGTGGCCTGTGTACAGTGATGGAGGTCTGTGTATGGTGATGAGGATCTGTGAATGGTGATAGGGGCCTGCGTATGGTGATGGTGGCCTGTGTCCTCACCTAGTTGTGCTTGTAGGAGCCGAGTTCTGGCTCTTTGGTCCCGCCTCTCAACTGTCAATCAACAGGTAATTACCTAAGTGTAATTACCTAAGTGTAGTTACAGGATGAGAGCTACGCTCGTGGTGTCCCGTCTTCCCAGCACTCTTTGTCATATAACGCTTTGAAACTACTGACGGTCTTGGCCTCCACCACCTTCTCACTTAACTTGTTCCAACCGTCTACCACTCTATTTGCGAAGGTGAATTTTCTTATATTTCTTCGGCATCTGTGTTTAGCTAGTTTAAATCTATGACCTCTTGTTCTTGAAATTCCAGGTCTCAGGAAGTCTTCCCTGTCGATTTTATCAATTCCTGTTACTATTTTGTATGTAGTGATCATATCACCTCTTTTTCTTCTGTCTTCTAGTTTTGGCATATTTAATGCTTCTAACCTCTCCTCGTAGCTCTTGCCCTTCTGTTCTGGGAGCCACTTAGTAGCATGTCTTTGCACCTTTTCCAGTTTGTTGATGTGCTTCTTAAGATATGGGCACCACACAACAGCTGCATATTCTAGCTTTGGCCTAACAAAAGTCATGAACAATTTCTTTAGTATATCGCCATCCATGTATTTAAATGCAATTCTGAAGTTAGAAAGCATAGCATAGGCTCCTTGCACAATATTTTTTATGTGGTCCTCAGGTGATAGTTTTCTATCTAGAACCACCCCTAGATCTCTTTCTTTATCAGAATTCTTTAAAGATTTCTCACATAATATATAGGTTGTGTGGGGTCTATGTTCTCCTATTCCACATTCCATAACATGACATTTATTAACATTAAATTCCATTTGCCAAGTGGTGCTCCATATACTTATTTTGTCCAGGTCTTCTTGAAGGGCATGACAGTCATCTAAATTTCTTATCCTTCCTATTATCTTAGCATCATCAGCAAACATGTTCATATAATTCTGTATACCAACTGGTAGATCATTTATGTACACAATAAACATCACTGGTGCAAGAACTGAACCCTGTGGTACTCCACTTGTGACATTTCTCCATTCTGATACATTGCCTCTGATTACTGCCCTCATTTTTCTATCAGTCAGAAAATTTTTCATCCATGATAGAAGCTTACCTGTCACCCCTCCAATATTTTCCAGTTTCCAGAACAACCTCTTATGTGGAACTCTGTCGAAAGCCTTTTTTAGGTCAAGATAGATGCAGTCAACCCAACCATCTCTTTCCTGTAATATCTCTGTGGCTCGATCATAGAAACTGAGTAAATTCGATACACAGGATCTTCCAGATCGAAAACCATACTGTCTGTCTGATATTATATCATTTCTCTCTAGGTGTTCTACCCATTTAGTTTTGATTAGTTTTTCCAATACTTTCACTATTACACTTGTCAATGATACAGGTCTATAATTGAGGGGGTCTTCCCTGCTGCCACTTTTGTAGATTGGAACTATGTTAGCCTGTTTCCACCCGTCTGCTACGATTCCTGTACACAGGGATGCCTGAAAGATCAGGTGAAGTGGAATGCTGAGCTCAGATGCACATTCTCTCAGAACCCATGGTGAAACGCCATCTGGGCCAGCTGCTTTGTTCTTACCGAGCTCCTTGAGCATTTTTTCCACTTCGTCTCTAGACACCTCTATGTGTTCTATGTTGTTCTCTGGAATTCTTATTGTATCTGGTTCCCTAAAGATTTCATTTTGTACAAACACACTTTGGAACTTTACGTTCAGTGTTTCACACATTTCCTTTTCATCTTCCGTGAATCTATTTCCCATTTTCAACCTCTGAATATTATCCTTTACCTGCAATTTGTTGTTTATGAATTTATAGAATAGACCTGGTTCTGTTTTACATTTGTCCGCAATCCCTTTTTCAAAATTTCTTTCTGCCTCTCTCCTCACTGCCGTGTAGTTGTTTCTCGCATCTTTGTATCGCTGGTATGTTTGGGGGTTCGGCCTCTTCCTGTATTGATTCCATTTTTGTGTCTTTCGGTCTCTAGCCCTCTCGCAATTTCTATTGAACCAATCCTGTTTCCTAGTTCTGCATCTCTGTTTTGGTATAAATTTTTTTGTGCCTTTATCATATATTTCACAAAACTTGCCATACATCTCATTCACTTCCTTGCCTAGCATCAAGTCTGTCCAATTATACTCACTAAAAAAATTTCTAAGGTCACCATAATGTCCTCTCCTGAAGTCTGGTTTTTCAACTGCTTCAACCTCCTTATTTTCTTCCAGCTTATAACACATTGCATACTTTATTCCCAAAAAGACATGGTCACTTTTACCCAAGGGAGGAAGGTACTGAATGTCAAATATCTCTTCCTCCTTCCTGGTAAATATCAAATCTAGCATGGAGGGAACGTCCCCTTCCCTCATCCTCGTAGCTTGTTTAACATGTTGATACAAGAATGTTTCCAGGATGAGGTCTACAAATTTACAGGTCCAAAAATCTTCTGTTTTAGCTTCATATGCTTCCCAGTCTATGGATTTCAAGTTGAAGTCACCGACTATCAACAGTCGTGATCTATCGTTATCCGCTCTCGCTATAATCTCTCTCATTATTGTTATAAGACCTTCACGTTTACTATCTAGCTCCTCCTTTGACCATGTGCTGCTTGGCGGTGGACTATATGCATTTATCATCATTAGTTTATCATCCTCATAGCAGATCTCTAGTGCTATTATGTCAACTTCTTGTGGATTGGCAGTCATTATTTCCTTCACCTTTAGGTGTTCTTTTACCAGCACAGCAACGCCACCGCCTTTCCTAATTTTTCTGTCCCGTCTCCAAATTGAGTAGCCCCTTGGGAATATGACCTCATTTAAAATTACATCTTCAAGTTTTGTCTCCGTGAGTGCAACAATGTCTGGTGTCTGCAGCTGTATTACATCACTTAACTCCAGTATCTTCGATCTCACTCCATCTATGTTGGTGTATGCAATCTTCAGGAACTTGTTCCCCCTCTCCTTATTCTTCACTCCCCCTTTCTCTATTGATTTTGTTGGTTTGCCTTTATGTACCACTTTACTGGTTTGCCTACCCCTATCACTTTGTAGAAAAAAGAATTTATTTCTTCTTCATTCCTGCTCTCATTTAAATGTTTTGCCTCGGCGAGGTTCAGTTTCAGCTTCTCTCTATCTTCTTTTGAAAGATCTCGTCTTAACGACCACCCTTTCCCATCCTCATCCCTTTGCAATTTTCTAGCATTCCTTAGTACTTCTTCCATCTGTTTGGCACCGTTTAGGGTGATCCTCAAAGGTCGATCTTTCCCTTTTACGTACCTGCCTATTCTCCTGTAGTCGCACACATTCTCTCTGTTTGTAAGACCTTCCACGAGGCCAACAATTTTATCTACTACTTTAGCTTCTTCTACAGCTCTTTCTGACCTAGATGTTATCGCCTTTTCTTTGCAGCCAAAAATTATCAGGGACTTACTCCGATCAACTGTGTTTTGCACCAACTTCGGGTTAGATGCCAATTCTTTCCTCACTTCTAGCCTAATGTTTGTTTTATCTTGGTTGCTGCAGTGTTTGACTTCCTTTACTGCTTCTTCTATTTTTTCCTTCTCCTTGGCCACTTGTGCATAAGTGAGTTGCATATCTTTCTTGCACTGTTCTATTCCCTGTGTAACTTCCTCCATCTGTGCTGACAAAAGCTGTTTCTCCTGTTGAATTTCCTTGCCTAACCTATTGTAGTCATTTATGTTTAAATTTACTTTAACTTCTTCCAAAGCTATTTTTAAGAGTTTATTTTCTTCTTCCATGGCTTTGCAATTTGTTTCCAATTGATTCTTATCCTTGCGCAAGTCTTTCACTAAACCCTCAAGACATAAAACTTTGCTATTCAAATGGTCATTACTTTCTTTCAATTTACTAATTATTTCTACATGAGAGTTCACTATAGTATCTAAATTTACCAACTGGTTATGTAGACTACTAATATCAATGCTTTCTTCATTGAATCCCTCAAAATCAAGCTCTGTTTTGTTTTTCCCCTTGCCAGTGGCCATCTTGAATGTTCTTCTCTGCACTGTAAACACTAGGGGCAACTTTTTCTCATCCGATTTTTCACTTCCCTTAGCACTTTCCTGTTATCTCACCTATTTTTCAAGAGCACTATACCTTTATGTTCTCTGGGACACCACTCACTACCATCAACCTGTACTACAATACTTAGGATTGTTGAAATATGCTGGAGCTCCTCTGCTGCAAGTGTTGACCCTAGGGGTGTCACCTTTTGAATCTCAATTTGAAGGTGTACAGGTTCCTGAGCCTACTGGGCTCTATCATATCTACACTTGAAACTGTGTATGGAGTCAGCCTCCACCACATCACTGCCTAATGCATTCCACCTGTTAACTACTCCCACACTGAAATAGTTCCTTCTAACGTCCCTGTGGCTCATGTGGGTACTCTGTTTCCATCTGTGTCACCTTGTTCGCGTGCCGCCCATCTTGTAATGGCGATGTTCGCGTGCCGCCCATCTTACAATGGCGATGTTCGCGTGCCGCCCATCTTACAATGGCGATGTTCGCGTGCCGCCCATCTTAACACTTTCACGCTTTCGATTAGAGATAACTCGTCACTGGTTTTTCTTACGATTCCGCATAACTGCCTACTTTTCTCGTCAATCGAAAAAATATTTCTATAAATTCCATTTTTTAACCGAAATGGATGGGGATACTTTTGTTTTGTAGAGAGTTTATTTGCGAATTTTTTGGTACCAGAATGAATATTATATCACATAAACTTCTATGAGTAAAAAAAAAATACACAAAGTAT